TCTCTCTCTCTCCAACTTTGTCTCCATCTCTGTCTTACCTCTTTTTATCTCTCGGTCTCTCTCTCTCTCTTTCTCTCTCTTTCTCTCTCTCTCTATCTCTCTCTCTATCTCTCTCTCTGAATGTTCACAATGAGGAAGACCTTAACTGTCTCCCTAAGCTATCAAGGCTGCGATGAGACTATCACGTGCTCTATGGTCGCCTGTCCACACCTTCCAATCAACACGGACTGCGCTATACAGAACTTCAAGAAAATGATCTGCCAAGCTGTGAGGTGGGATTGTACTGTGTGTGTGTGTGTGTGTGTGTGTGTGTGTGTGTGTGTGTGTGTGTGTGTGTGTGTGTGTGTGTGTTTTTCGCATGCGCGCACGTATAATGCATGTGTGTTCTTGCACGCGCGCACGTATGTATGTGTGTATGTATAATTTGTATATTTTTTTCACGTGCTTCCTCACTTCTCCACCCATGAATCAAAGCCACGTCGTGGGTAGTTGGCGGGTGCTCTGGTGTGGTTTGCTCCTTCTTTCCTGTCAAACATCTATCGTCTTTACCTCCCCTCCTTCTATTTTATGTTTGTCTTGTAACACCTCTATTCTTCGGCACTTATACGACCTTATCAAGTGACGTAAAACACTACTTAACTAAAACTAAAACCACTCATGAATCTAACTCAGGTCGTCTATATGCAACGCCAAAGAGTCCTACCACTACATCACACACGCGCAACTCTTTCTTCTTTACTGCCAGATCTCAGGAATAGTCGACTGCTGGGTCTTCAAACTGCAGTGCAACAGAATTTTACGCCTGTGCCCATTTTTCCTACTTCGTAGGGCCCCTCGCATTCAGGCAGCCATACATTCCGATTTCGATGGTACTCTAGACTTTTTTATACTGACTAGAGTATTTTCAGAATTTTGAATTCTGCCCGGGGGACGGCCGAGGCTTACTCTTCTTATTTATTGTAGGAAAGGAGAAAACGTTATTATTTGAATGACCTCTTTGGTGCAGTTGTTCAGCTCTTTGCCGTAGCTTTCAGAAGACGTGAGTTCGATTCTTGAGTGGGGAAGTTACAAGTTGTTGTTTTTTTAACCGATTGTCTCCGTCTGTCTTCTGGGTTGTTGTGTCCCACTTAGCTCTGGTTGGTTGGCGCTGGCAGGCAGTAGAATATACGTGTCGATGGGAACTTAGAACATGTATACAATCTGGAATGTGCCGACCGATAAAGTCTTAAAGGACGTAAAGGAAACATTAACATATTATTATGTCCCCTCAACAGCAGACCGAAGGCTATGTTGCAGTATAGTTCGAGCCAACGTGCAAAAATCAGAAACACGAATTTGCACGTCATGTCATCGTGAGAATGTTGCTGCATTCAAGTTTCAGGCAAAGACAAAAGAAACGAAAACCCAGTTTGAATAACCAAATTTAATTATATGCTTCTTTTTACAAGTCCCCCAAAATGTCTTCTTCAAGGTCTAGTGTGTTGCAGAATAACCAGAATGCGCGTACTCGTGAGTTAAGCGAGGGACGGAATGGAGGAAATCGGACAACCCAACAATGGCATTGCGACATCTCCGTACCTGACCCCGATAACATTATGCGAGTGGATTTTATTTTATTCTTTTTTTTTTAGG